ATTTTACATTCTGGGTATGTAGCACATAAATTGGAGCGAGGCAGTCAGGGTGAATCAATTGTATGTATGGTTCTAACGAGGAAGTACTCAATCATACTTATCGTATTCTGGGGGGCAAAGATGTTGATGATAGCTTTCAACTGATCAATGCTTCATATTAGTGCTGACCTTCAAATCGCATCAAAAGAGATTCTACCACAATTTCTACATTTTAATTGAATTCATAAACGAAAAATATCAATAACTTTTATGTTCTACAGAATTAGTATTTGACCTTTTGGACTGCACTAATGTTACTCGATTTATTTGAAGTTAAATATTATGTAAATAGTAGATATGTAAATAAGAGATTAAAATCATCGGAATTATCAACAATTATTTACTTTATATCAAAATTATACCTATTTCTTCTAATACGAGTTAAATTTATACGAATATTAATGGAAATAGAAATAGTTCGTTTTTGTTTATTATGAGTACAAATTAAAGAATAGGTTAATAGGTTAATGCTCCATAACAAAAATGGGAACGCAAAATTCCTCTGTCTACAAAAATATACGAAAAACTGTATTTTAAATATATGATTATACTCCTACTCCACTCGTTTATTATTTGATATAGCTGTTTTATCATTATTGTATGTATTTTATCTCTGGTATCAATAAACTCTTTGTATAACACGATAATAGTGTATTGTTACTATACGCGCTTAAAATAATGACTAACTAATTATTTGTTCATATTAAAATTATAGTCTTAGAGCCAACGTGAATATTTCAATGTAATCTTTCTTATATGCCAACATATCGTTTTATTATGCTACTCGGTAACCTAATAATTTTAATGAACTTATTTTGGTTTTAAACATAAATTATTTAAATGTATTCGTAAATAATCTAATTATAATACATTTATTTTGTGTAAATGTCATTGTAGATTAGGCGTGAAATGTTACAGATGCGTAAAATTTGTACAAAATGACAGATAGATTATGAATAATTAAAATTTTTATGATAAAAAGGTAAACAGATATATTTAAATATTATTTGTAAAAATAGTAGACGTCTATTTTTAATATTTACTAAAGTGAACGTAATATTTTTTAGTGTTAAATCTAGAGTAAAGTTATGGAAATGAAAGTCAGCAAGTGTCTATGTAAAGTGAAAATTTATCCATGTTTCCGGTCACGGCTTGCTGCATCGAAAGATGACACTAGCATCGAGACTATTAAAAGAATATTTATAACAACCTTTTTATAAAATTTAAGAAGTTTTAAAATAAATATCAATGTTTTTTAACTTTTAATTTGAATAAAACCGCGCACATTGTGTTTTCTAACCTCGTTTTGGCAGTGTTATCTTTTTAGGTACGTAACTGAAGTGACAATTGTAAATAAATCGAAAATAGTTTCAGAATGTTAATGTATAATGAAACGACTCACCGTTTATGATTAGCTGGACGCACAGCTTAAAGTAAAACAGTTCACAACACTCAAGTTTACCAAACACTGTCCCGCACTAAGCATAGCAGTTCAATTGTTTATATTGTTAAAACGTGTGTAGTTACGTCGAATGTTAAATGTTCGTACGCCGGCGTCTGCGGCGGCACTGAACGATCAACTGGCCGTCTTATCGCCACCAATTTGTTCCGATAAGCCTTAGCTACATCTCATGAACGGTAAGCCTATAGCCACTCCATCACTCATACACAAGCCACTTGACGCGAGTCGCGACTTCAATATACTATTTGCATTACAATATTTTTAAATACAGGTCAATGAACTCTAGCGAAAATAATTGCAGTGAAATTTCTTTCTTCACGAAGTTCTTTTTAGTTTTGTTATATAATAAAGAAAGAATTTATCGAAATTGTTAAAAAATAGTTGTCTAAAATAAAACATTATTGAGCGTAACGATATCTTTTTATGTTTTTCGTTAGAACGCCGTTTCGGGTCAGGGCCGAACGCCGTTATTCCAAGCGGCTGGCATCTTAAAATAAATATATTATTTGAAGATGTACTACGCATTAGTTTTATATAACACTAGCAACTAAACACGGATATGCCCGGGAAACAAAGAATACCAACAAACATTTAGAATAACATCTTGAATTTTACAAAATTATGTATTTTGTACAAATAATTCAACAGAATAATAATTACGTGAAAGTTTTGTTATCTGTCTAGTTAAATGAATTAATATGAAAAATATGATAATTTAATTTGATGCTATTATAATTTTATAAAATATTTGGCAAATATTTAATGAAATAGTTTGAAATATCTGTCAAGGATAAAAAGTCGATATTAGAAAATACTGTTTATTGTGGTTTTAAACGATACCGAAATTGGGTCACAGATAAGATTTTCAATTGAATTTCTTATCAGGGACTTATAATTTTCCATTGTTTATGTTTTCGTTGCTGTCTTATTAAAACTTTTTTTATGTTTGATATTTCTTTCCATACTTTACAAGTAGATGAAAAATTCTTCTTAATCTAATTACACAGAAATGGAATTTGGATACATTTTTAATATTGCTTAGGTAATCTTAATGATTGATAACATTTTCTAATATATTTGATATAATAATCGTTTTATTGTATTTTTTAGTTGTTTAAATTGATAAGAAAATAATAAATTTATTGCAAGTCCAATAATAATAGAATTATTTGTTACAAACTAGCTTTTCGCCTGCAGTTTCGTCCGCGTGGAATTCGATTATATCGCGTTTCTAAGAGAACCTTTCAACAGTCTGGGATAAAAACTATCCTATGTTCTTTCTCAAGATCAACTCTATATCTGTACCAAATTTCATTAAAATCAGTTTAGTGGTTTAGGCGTGAAAGCGTAACATACAGACAGACAGACAGAGTTGCTTTCGCATTTATAACATTAGTAGGGATTCGATAATAATTATTGGGGATTGCTTCTGTAGAGGAGATGTTCAAGCGATCATATTTTTCTTCGACTATTAGGTAATCAGTCTTGAAATTATTATTTGATAATAATTTTTATTGTGCTGAATACTGAATACCTACCTTAATGAAAACCAGATTAGGTAGCAACCTTTTACCAAAATAATAGGACGACTACATAATATTATGAGTCGATTTAAATTAAAATATTTGAAAGTAGCATTAGATAAAGAAAATTTTATTAAACATACATAAAGTTAAAGACCGTGGTCGTGGGTCTATTCTTAGAGATCATACAAAGTCCACTCTGATGATGCAAAGTCTAATTTAGAGAGAATTTATTTAAGCGCCATCTAGTGCCAAATGATAGTAAAAGTAGTTAGTAAATACTAATTTTCTAGTTTTAAGTTCAGATTTTTATTATTTTTACTATGAATTATTTTATTTTTTAACTATTGAATTAGCAAATGGGAATAAAAATTTTATTTTCTTAAGATACTTAAATATTTTCGTCTGTCTATCGCATGTCGTATTAGAGACTTATGTAAGAAATCAGTTGGCCTCGTATCGTTTATTTACTATGTATTCCATTCTAACATGTACCTATATTAAAATCATTCCAATTTCCAAGTATGAAACATAATATTAATATCCTAAATATAATAATTTCTAAAATAATTAGATAGTTGCGACGCCAAAAAAGGTTCAAGTATCAAGTGCATTGTAGTTTTATAAATCACTAGTTTTTGCCCGCGACTTCGTCCGCGTTAGTTTGGTCAAGAGTAATATATGTAGGTATAGCTGACCAGGCGAACTCTATGCCGTCATAGAGGCCATAAATAATCAGGTTTTTCCTGTTTCAATAAAACAGAATGATTGACATATTAGTTAGTTGTCAAATCTAATGTCAAAAAAACGTTTGTATGGGAAACAGAAAAGGGCTGTTTTTAGGGTTTTCCCGGCAATTATTCCAATTTTCTTCACCTTTTAAACCTTTCCTGGACTTCCAGGAGTATTTCAAGAAAAAATTAGCCAAATCGGTTCAGCCGTTCTCAAGTTATAGCGAGACTAAGGAACAGCAATCCATTTTTATATATATAGAAGATTACAGCACAATTGTTTCGTAAGCTACCAAAAATCTAGCACCAAAATGTACTTAATTAAGAAAAAATATTTTATTATTATTTATTTAGTATAAATTTTTGCACTCTCAGGTACTCTTCAAACATTTGTAACTAGCCCTCTTATACAGGGTGACTGGTGAATTACTATCGATACTTGAGGAAGTGATATTTGACGATCATATATGACAAAATAAAAATTAATATAACATAAATATTAATAAACTTCTAAGTAAAATTAACCGAAAGTTATGTAATTAATTACGCATCGTGTGAACACCCTACAGATTAGATATACACACACACACACGCGCGTGCGGCGGCGTGGTGTTGTATCAGCACGCCGCCGCACGCGTCCACACTTAGAACACTTGGAACGTGTCCACACTTTATTTATTTATACGGAAATTTTGTCAAAAATTAAGTACCTATTTTATTTATATAATTCGAATGAGAATCATATATCGAGTATTCTCCTTAAATATTGATAGTAATTCACCAGTCACCCTGTATATGTATAGTACCTATATGTCACTTTTATTGCGATATCAACGGTGATTAAACTATATCATTTGTTCTGGACAAGTTTTTTGTTTTGAAATAACTTACATTGATAAAAAGATTTAATTTCTATTACTCAAATCGTGAAATATTTTCAATAAACCGTACTACCCGTGATCACGGTTGCTGTAAAGTAGCCGAAACGTCGGGAGTACATATGTAGTTTTTTATCAAAATAAAGTCGCGTAGTACATCCGAAAAACATTAGTTTCATTTAAATGAATACTCGCGAAAGTACATGTAAAGTTAAATCCTCTTTTTAAATGACATTTGATGTATAAAACCTTTTTCGTAATATTACAATTACAATGTACAAAAACATGTGCCTTTAATTATATTGTCAAAAATCATAAATTTTATATAGTCTCGATTTTAAATTAAAAAATCTATAAAAACAGTGTGATGTTCAACGCGACTTGCAAATCGGAAGCCATGGCAGGTTGAGATATATATTATAAAATGATTTTATATATAAATGTACAGAATGATAGTCACTGGTGGCCTAGTGGTTAAAAGGCCCGCCTCTCATGCACGAGGGCGCGGGTTCGATCCTGGCAAGTACCAATGTGATTTTTCCGAGTCATATGCACTTTCTAAGAGTATTTAGACATCACTGATTAATGTATTTCCAAAGAAGGTTGATGTCAGGCGGCCGGTCGTAAAACCAATTAGCCAAAACTATTTACAACATGTAAGGCAGACCCTGGCTGAAGCTGGGAAATTGCCAGGTAGAAGAGAGTATAGGAATCAATATTTTGTGCATATAACCAAATTTTAAAGACCGTTTATTTTGACGGGTTATTTTGTAATATTTTCTTGTATGTTAAGTTTAGAAATAATTAAATATGTAATAACTTAATTTTGTATCAGCTATAAAATAATGTTTTACCTTGGCATGTTGCCTCGGTTACAGTGAGCAAAATTTATGACTTCTTTTATCACTCCTCGGATTATCTAAATATCAGTTGGACATAAATTTAAATGTCAATATTATTTGGAGGATTTTATCAATTTGTTTTACGCGTTTCAAACTAACTCAATATATGAAAATGTTGTGCAGTTTGTAACAATTTTAAGACGTGTTTTTCATTGTCTTTCAATTGGAATTAATTTTATTATATATTGTGTTTTTAAATATCATTATTTAGGTATATCCAAAGATCAGTTGGAAAGTCGTTTATGATATATATATATATATATATATATATATATATTTTCTTTAATTTAAATCCAGTTAAATATTGAAATATTCAAAAGCAACATACATGATATTGAAAACAAATACGCTTTTCTCAAAGTTGGTTACAATACTTATAGTAATAAAACAAATGGTCTCTTTTACGTATATTGATAATATTTTATATAAATATTGTAGAAAACGACAATGCCGGTGTCAAGAAGCGACCTCGTTCCATGTTGTACAAGAGAGCGCAGTCCGTCAGTCCGATAGCCAGAAAACCTCGAAGGGTAAGTTATAAAAAAAATACGTGCGTACAAAGTACACATGTCATAAGTGAATCTTCTTTGACGAACTAATTTATTAATCTTGTTTATATTTATACAAATCTAAAACGTTACGACGATAGCTCTGTCTCACTCTTTCTCTCAATCTTTCTCGCTCGCTCCCTACTCTCACTCCATACTAGTTGCTTCATGCTACGTTCGTTCTGTCTCACTCTCTCTCAATCGGTCTCTCTCTCTCTCTCTCTTTTTCGACGTTACATATGTAAAAATTTTTCCCTAAAGTTGTTCACTTCAATAAGTTTTAAAGAAATCACTCTATAATAAATATTATTTTAATATATCTATATTAAAACATTAATTTCCCAGACTCCATCTGTAGTGAGAAAGATTGCAAACACAAGAAGATGTCAAAGTTTATCACCATCGAATGTGAGTGTACTTTTTAGCTATAATTTTGTCAATACGCTTCGTGTCAAAAACTAATATAATATGTTGTGATCATGAAAATTATCTTTTGGTGAATATTAGTATTATATTTCTGTTTTTTTGATAAATACAGGAATATACAGTCAGTAGCCGAGTTGATACTACACAACAAACTAATAAGATGGTCGCAGATCAATCTCAAAACTCCATGAGCGAAAAGTCCGGTTAGTGTATCATAAATGCCTTGAACTTAAATGAAGTGGTTCCTAAATGCCTTTTTCTTGCATTTCCAGGAAAAGAAACCGTCATACCGCAATGTATTCTGACAAAAACTTTGCGAGCGTTAGCAACAAAGAAGAGGGAATTTATTAAGTTAAGGAAGAATTTGATTGCTCAGCAAGTAATTACCTTATATATTTTATAGCAATACATATTGTGACGTAATAACTCTTATTATCTAATATTTTTAGAATACCGTATTAGAGCATTTTGCAGCAGTTAAGGAGTTAGAATCAAGAGCTGGTATACCAGACGAAAGTCTTGGAGAGATGAGAATACTTTCTCTGAAGGGCTGGCCAGCGCATGATCTTTTACTTCTCGTGAGAGATGACTTTTCGACTCCAATAAATAATGAAATTGATGGAGTTTTTGGTATATATTACAACTTATATAATATCTGTTTCGTTTCCACTATATACGAATTACAAAGATGGTTCATATAGGTATAAATATTCCAAAAATAGCCCGTTTTGCAAAAAATCCATCAATCTATTTCACAGGTCCTCAAGTTTGGCAGCAGCTTGCTGGTCATCTGCAACCTATACCAGAGGAGGTTCTTGGTATGGGTGCTGACATTATGGCTAGGCGCTTGGATATGCTCAACATGCTAAGATGCAAACATCGCAATGACCGTTCCACATATATGACAGTACGTACAAGCTTCTGTACTTAATGAATTTGATTGATCGATAAACTACTTGTATTACTCCAGAATTTGGAATGGAAGGCAAAAAACCAGGAATTTGACAACGAAACTGAACAGTTACATAAAATGGTTGTCGGAACTGCTGAGAATTTGAAAGCTAAAATTAACTACTCCATGGATCTTGCAAAGTGAGTTACTATATCTTCTATATATGTATATATATAAAAAATGAATCCCTTTTTCCCTTGGTCACGGCATCATGCGTGAATGGCTTGACCGATTACAATAATTCATTTTTTGTTATATTTGTTATTATTAGGAGAAGGTTCTTATGTAAGAAAAAAATACGAAAATTATTAGAAAAAAAATTACTAAAATTTTTCACTTTTTTTATAAAATAATGTGTCACTGGCAGTATTATTCACGTAGTTGCCATTTAAACAAAGAAAAAATTAAAATAAATTTACATGCTCTTTAATTAATTTCATTCAGATAAAAAGGTAACAGATATTTCTTGATTATAGGGTGGTACGAAGTCCGTCGGATCAGCTAGGAATTAAATAAACTACAATAAGTAACTTGCAGATTAAGACTAGTGATATTGTCTATTCATAAATATGGATTTAAAACAATGATTACAAATTAATTATTTCATTTAGGATTCCATGGATAGATCGTGATGCTATGATCAAGAAGATTGAACGCGTAACAAAAGAAAACATGACACTGCAGCATAAAATCGAGGAACTGATCAAAAAGGAACAAATAAATCAAGAAATTAAAGAGAAAGATGGACGGAAATCTGATGTGTCTGCTAATCATCAGGTCTTGAGTTGCAATTTTCTTAAACTACATGATGAATTGTACATTATTTTATAGAAATTCATTGGCCCATTATATCCTGTTTTGTAAGGTATACCGAAAAATAACTTCGAATCTGTTTCTGTGCTGTTGGGAACTAGTTATTTTGAAATCATTATTTGCTCATCTTGAAACACTTAGTTTGATTTGTTCTGATGACGGGTTTGATCTTTTCGTGTATAGTGAAACGGATTATAGTTTCTTTTCATTGATCAAGTATGTGTGATAATGTTTTTATCTTTGGGCAATCTTTAGTATCAGTAGCGATACTTTACAAATTGTGTATCGGTATCTATATAAGACCGTACAATTTATTAAGGATAGATATGTTACTTAAAATTTTATTGAAGATATATAGGTTCTTCTAATTTTTGTTAACTCCTTTACGACAATAGATACTTATATTCTTGTGAGATCTCAATTGGAATGGTAACCCCTTTTTATATCTTACGGCTTGGTTAACTTTTAAGAGTAACACATAAAGAGTAATCATTATCATTATCTCCTTCATTCAACATTACATACTTAAAGGTCGAAAAGATCTCCCCTACTCTAATGTCGCAATATAACTTAACAAACCCACTTAGTTACTCAGTAAATGTTTATCTTAGATCACATACAATGGGTATTAAACATATTTTTTAGGAGATTATAGACGCCTTTCCATGATAATATAAAATAATGATATTTTTATATGTTTTAAATGTAGGCATTATTTGAAGAATTGAAAAAGGAGCGTGAAGTTCGTGAATCTCTTAAAGAAGTGGTAAATGGGGCTGAAAGTATGCTGAGAGTGGCTCGAGCAAGGATCGTGACGCTGGAGAGGCAACTCAAGGAATCAAGAACAGAACTTGACACGGCTCGCCGCAAGTACAAGGATATGGAACAACTTGTAAACAATGACAATTTAGTAATTATGTTTAATGCGGATCATGTGAAATTAGTGTTCAGAAAAAATTAACAACTACATTTTAAATATAGCGTACTTTTTCTAACTTTATTAATCATTTCAGTATCGCAATCGAGAGTTCAGCTATGACGCGCGTTCGAAAAAAATGTTAGAGGTATCCAAAACCGGGGAAATGACGATCGAAGCGTTGTCACGACAGAGAGACGCGCTGGAGATCAGGTTATAAAAGTAACACCATGTATAATGGATAATTTTTGGGTTCATATCGTCAGTTAAAGAGTTGTGACGATGTTCATAGTATGGGTTATATAGGTATCCTTAATTTCTGTTAAATCTGTTAAGAGAACCGAGGGTATCAATTATATTGGTATTATTTTAGATTAAACGTAAACAAATTTACTAAGCTACTATAAATTTATATGGATTTTATAACAAATCATCCGGCTTAAAAGTTGTGGGAAATGAAAGGAAAAAAATATAAGAATATATATTTCTGTAAAATGCCTTTAAATCTAAAGTTTTTTCTACATAGTATAGACTACTCTCAAATATTTTTAAATAAAGCCTTTTGAAATATATATATAAAACTGCTTATAATTAGCCAAGTTGAAACATTTTTAAGATACTAATAATAATGAGATATTATTTATATTTAGAGTTAAGGAGTTAAGGGAGATAGCGGAAAATGCAGAACGTACAGAAGAAGCGCGCCAGGCAGAAATAAAGGCGAAGACGGAAGAATTGGAGAAAAGAATTGCAGAACAGGTGACATGATGATACACATTTTTCTTTTAAAGGTGGCAAATGAGGATACGCCCTATTTGGGGGAAGGTAGTTAGCTTCGTTTAAGGAGATTTGTGATTTAAAAGATGTTACCTTGTTAATCTTAATTGTAGGAAAAGGAGAAGAACGGATAGGATAAAATAATGGGCAGGAAAGGTTGGAAAAAGGAAAGGGCAAGAAACTAATTACTATTACGAGCTGTTTTTACATAAAAGGTACTAAAAAGATATGAAAATGTCGATTTTTTTGTTGTCAGGAAAGAAATAAGAATACCGCTGAAGGACAAGTAGCTGAATTAAAAGGTCGGGTTAGAGAGTTAGAAGAACAATTACTTTCTTTACGAGAACGAACTGTTCGTTTAGTGGATCTGGAACGAAGACGATGTGGTGATTACATACCTTCCAAAGGTATGTCCATAGAAATTCTTCTTCTACCTACCAATTTCCCAGCTTTAGCCAGGATCTGCCTTACATGTGTGAGTAGTTTTTGGCTGTTTTTACGACCGGCCGCCTGCCTGATATCAACCTTCTTTGGGAATGCATTAATCAGTGATGTCTAAATACTCTTAGAAAGTACATATGACTCGGAAAAAATACATTGGTACTTGCCAGGATTGAACCCGCGCCCTCATGCATGAGAGGCGGGCCTTTTCACCACTAGGCCACCACTGACTAGAAATTAAAGTAGAACAAATGTTACTACGCAATACTAATGTACTTTTGTTTATAGAAAGTGAACCTTCTGATCGAGAAACTGAAATTTGGAAGGAACTGCAAGTGACTCGAGTTACTTTGTCGCGGGCAGAGGAAGAACTACGTCTGAGCAGGGCTGATAAAGATAGCTTTTTGGAGTCTTTGTCTCAAATTGCGGTAATATATACAATATAAAAATATATTTTAATATCATGAAGTTATCTAAAGCCTAAATGTTGTTACAGCAAATGGAAAGGAATGACAAGGAAGACAAAATGTCTGCGGAATTAGTAAAGAAAGAACAGTATATACGGAAATTACAGAACATAATCGAAGAACAGCGAGAAAACGAGAAAATCATGTAAGTAGTACTACTTTTTTATGTAATACTAGTTTTTGCCCGCGACTTCGTCCGCGTTAGTTTCGTCATTAGTAATATATGTACAGCTGACTGGGCGAACTCTATTCCGTTTAAGAGGGCATTAATAATCAGGTTTCTCCTGTTTCAATCGAACAGAATGATTGACATATTAGTTAGTTGTCAAATCTAATGTCAAAGAAAACGTTTGTATGGGAAATAGAAAAGGGCTGTTTTTATGGTTTTCCCAGTAATGAATAAATTTTTTTTAGCTTTTATACCTTCCCTGAACCTCCACGAACATTTCAAGACTAAGATAAGATAAATCCGTTCAGCTGTTCTCGAGTTTTAGCGAGACTAAGGAACAGCAATCCATTTTTATATATATAGAAGATTAATCCAAACTACTCGTAATGATTCACACGAGCACAGATGAAGACCTAATTATAGTACTTAATAGTGCTAAAAGTCAAAATACTGAAAGCTCTTAAAAGATTTTTACATTTTTGTCAGGGAGCACACAATGACAGATTATGAAAATCAGCTGGCAACACTACGTCTTGAGGTCAAACGTTTGAGAAATTATGATTGTTACACCAAGGACACTCAATATCAAGATCTACAGACTGAGGTTTCAAATTTTTTGGTTGTTTGAAGCATTTTATATAAAGATCTTAAGCTTGCATAGAGTTTCTATGATTCTTCTTTTAAGTAATCATCTTTTTATTCTTCTTCTTCTACCTGGCAATATCCCAGCTCTTTTTGGCCAGGGTCTGCCTTACATGTGGATAGTTTTGGCTAATTGTTTTTAAGCCCGGCCGCAGCCTGACATCAACCCTCTTTGGGAATGCATTAATCATTATGTCTAAATGCTTATAGAAAGTACATATGACTCGGAAAAATCACATTGGTACTTGCCCGGGCCAGGATCGAACCCGCTCTCTCGTGCTTGAGAGGACCACTGACTTAATCATCTTTTTTGTTATTAATAGCTGTTGGAATTACAAATGCAAGTTGAGACGTTGTCTCGTGAGCGATCAGCCTTAGTGTCGGCAGCGGCTTCACGAGCGCTGATGCTGGAGAGGCATGAGAGGGCTGCGGATCTATTCGCTAAGATCACTCGCGCGAGGAAGGAACTTGAGGCTCAGATAGATGATAATCACGACTTGCCACATATATCTGACGGCCTGCAAGCTGAGGTACATATCTTATTTAGAAAACACTAGCTGCGCCCCGCGGATTTCCGGGATGTAAAGTAGCCTATATCTTATTTCTGGACGTCAGCTTCCTGTATACAAAATTTCATCAAAATCGATTCAGCCGTTCGAGCGTGAAGAAGTAACAAACATACACACATACAAACTTTCGCAATTATAATATTAGTAGGATTTTGTTTATCGTATATATATTTTGTTTATTCAGTGAATATATAGAGTTCATTTAGCTGGAAATATAAAAAATGACATGTTATTAGATTGTTGTTTCTTAATAGATGTGTAAAAATATTTTATCTATCGTAGAAATGTTTGGAAAATGAATTCATTGAATATATAGTTAATTTAGCTGGAACTATAAAAAATGTCATGTTTAATATGATTGTTGTTTCTAAATAGATGTGTAAATCGGTGTCATCTATCTGCGCGTCGTCTGCCGAGACCTGGTCTGCCTTGAAGGCAGAACGGGCTCGTGTGTTGCGACTGGAGAGTGCGGTGGTCTCTCAGAGTATACAATTGGAGAGAGAAACCAGAGTTAGAACTCAACTTGAAAGACGGAGGGCCACGTTGGAGAGGGAATTATTCCGGACACGTCACGATACTTCATGTAGCAAGATTTCCTCTAATCCAAGTTTGGTATTTTTATAAAGACAAAAACACCTTTGTGTATATTTAATTATTTTTTTTGGATATTTGTTTTTTTTTAAGTTTCCCATATTTTCCCAAGATTTGGGCTTATTTAACCTATTTTTTTATTTCAGATTCGACCATTTTCTTCCCCTAGGTGATTGGTAACACAAATGAAGAAAATCGATCAGTTAAAATGTCAATTTGTAATAAATAATTTATACATAGCAAACTTTTCATTTTACACAATTTTTTAATATTTTAATACAGACGCCATAAAACTAACATCCCATTCACACGAGCGGGTGACCGGCGAATTTGAACATTTTACTCTTTTTATCGTTCCTCGATTGATCGGGGAGGAGATTTTTTAAGTATTTTTCAGCTGGGTATTTAACTTGACTTGGTCTATTGTGATACATTAAATTACTCTCATTAAAAGACATCAGATCCTCCGCATTAGGCGGCGGAATCCATTTCTGCGTGTCAATATGGGTGATGGCCTGTTTTCGGTCGAGATTGTCATAATCGTATTTAGAATCGTTTGATAAATCGTATGTTTTCTTCACGAAATTCCCCATGACTATTTTGGTGGGTGTTTTAATATTTTCTTGTTGTATTTGATTGTGTTCGTCGTAAAACCGTTTCGCGTGATGGTTGTCTAAGACCTCAATGTTTCTGTAGTTACTGTAGCTTTCTTTAGCAGCCAGTAACGGTTTTTCGTAAGGTGCTTCAATCTCTTCTTCCAATATCTTTATCAAGTTATCCAAATGTTCAAATTGAGGAGCCCTATTCAGTTTTTTCTCTATATAACCTTCATATTCCTTAAGTTTCGTCTCCAGTGTATGAATCTTATCGTTGTCTTTTCGTTTTTGTATCGCAGCTCTACAGTTTTGATCTTCCAAGGTGAGAATAATTTTCTCGAGCTGACATATTTGTTGTTTCCTTGTTTCAATGTTAGTGATGAGCGAGTTTATTTCTGTGTTCTTCTCTTCTATTTCTTGGCTGAGTTGTATAACGTTATTTTGTTCTTCCTCCTTTTCTGACATTATTTGTAAAATATTCTTTCTCTCCTTGAGAAGTTCCTCTTGTTCCCTAAGCGTGTCTTCTACTTCATTTAATTCGCCTCTCTTCATGAATATATCTTGTGTTATTTTATTCAAGTCCTCCTTGGCTTTGGATAACAATGAGTTTTGTTCTTCAACCTACAAATATATGTTTTTATGTTATTTATATGTAAATTTCTACAGGAAAAAAACTAGAAGGTGACCAATTCTACAAATAGGTGTCAGCTGAATAAACATTAATTACCAGTTTACGAAGATTATTCAAATCTTTTAATTCACCGAAATGTTCTTGCAAATTTTTTATTTGCTCTTTTAAGTCGATCAATTGGTTTTCATACATCTTCATTTTGCTTTCACTGAAATATTAAAAATAAAACATGAAAAAACAAAAAAACTGTGTCAATAATTAAATCTCTAAATGTTTATGGTATGAACAGTAAGTAAGTACCTTTCTTGTATCTGTTGTTCCATATGTTCTTGTTTATTTTCTAGTATTGTTATATATTCTTCTTTCTTATTAATTTCTCCTTTTAATTTCTCTTCAAACATGTGACACCTCTTGTAATCAGACTGAAATATTGATGTTGTTATATTACAATGTTCAATATAAAATTTCTATCGTATCTATTATCAACTAACCTCCATTTCTTTTATAACCTTACTGTGTTCTGAGACAAAGTTCTTATATTTCGCTAGATCAGAATTTGCTTTGTCTAGATTCTCTTTCGCTTCCTCTAACTGTTCTTTATATTTCATTGTTTCGTCTGAAATAAAAAGCAATTAAAATATTGTAAGTATCCTTATAATAACGTTTTAACTTTAACCCTTTTACCAACAGACAATAACGGTTTCATTTCATCTTTGTTTCTCTACAGTATATTAAACTATAAGCCTATATAAATCTCCTTCTACCTGGGAATTTCCCAGCTTTACCCAGGGTCTACCTTAGATATTGTGACTAGTTTTGGATAATTGTTTGTACGCCCGGCCGCCTGCCTGACATCAATGCTCTTTGGGAATGCATTATTCATTATGTCTAAATGCTCTCAGAAAGTACATATGACTCGAAAAAATCACATTGGTACTTGACAGGGCCGGGATCGAACCTATGAATGTCTCATGCATGTAGAGGCAGGCCTTTTAATCACTAAGACACCACTGACTTTCCTATATATATATACAGGGTGACTGGTGAATTACTATCGATATTTGAGGACGTGATATTTGACGATCATATATGACAAAATAAAAATTAATATAACATAAATATTAATAAACTTCTAAGTAAAGTTAACCAAAAGTTATGTAATTAATTACGCATCGTGTGAACACCCTACAGATTAGGTATACACTCACACACACATACGCGTGCGGCGGCGTGGTGTTGCATCAGCACGCCGCCGCACGCGTCCACACTTGGAACACTTGGAACGTGTCCACACTTTATTTATTTATACGAAAATTTTTTTACATAATTCGAATGAGAATCATGTACCGAGTATTCTTCTTAAATATTGATAGTAATTCACCAGTCACCCTGTATACATTCATATATATTTATCACTTACTAAACGCGTCTTCCATATCTTTATACTCTCTGAACAGCTGTGAATATCGTTCTTCTGCATCCTTCACTCGCGCGCTCTGTGACTCTACGCTATTTCTTAAACTCATATTTTCTTCCTTCGAATGTTTATATTTCTTTTCGACTTCCATTAGTTTCGTCATATTTTTATTCAGTTCTTGTTTTATATTGTTCACGGACTCGGTATAGTGTTCAGATAATTCCTCTAATTTCTTTTTAAGGTCTTCTTTCCTAAAAGTTAATTAAATATAAAATATTTTGGTTATTATTTTGTTGATAATTTTGTTGAGAAACTGACTCAGCCTGTAATGATTCTCTGGCAGCAGCTATCTCTTCCAGCTGTAATGTGTTTTTCCTCATCGATTCCTTCAATTTATTTAATTCCACATCAAAGTCCTTTTGAAGTTGTTCGTTCTGTATAAGATTAGCGAGTTTCATAAATAGTATAAAATTAGTATTTTCAAACAAGACTTATCGTAGATCTGTTACAAAGCAGCTCTAAATGGCTCAAACTAGTTTCCATGTTCTGTATGTACTCGTGAAATCCTTACTAATATAATAAATGCGAAAGTAACTCTGCCTGTCTGTTACGCTTTCAAGCCTAAACCACTGAACTGATTTTAATGAAATTTGGTACAGAGATAGAGTTGACATTGAGAGAGAGCATAGGATAGTTTTTATTCCAGACTTTTGAAAGGTTCTCTTGGAAACGCGATATAACCGAACTCCACGCGGGCGAAGTTGCGGGCGGAAAGCTAGTGTGTAAATAAATCGTTTGAACATATCGTCACCAACTTGATCATGTAACTGCTGCACGGTTCGCTCCAAGGACCTCGTTCTGTTCCTCGCGTGGCTGAGAGAACTCTCTAACTGCAGTGACCTCTCCTCACCGATTTTCACTTGACCTTCTGCCCTTGACAACCTGTCCTTTATAGTCATTCTCTTGATATTTTCTTCTTTTAGTTCTTTTTCAAGTTCCTTGTGAAGTTTAATTAAATTTAACGAGAAATTGTTACTTTACACAATCTACTTAAATGTCGAAATGAAACTGATATTTTCAGATTATTACGCCTAGGCGAAATTTGATCACGGTCGCTACAAAGAATCGAATATCGATCCTGACTCTAGAAGTGTGTAGCTATTATAAATAATAAAATACGAGAAGTAATTCGAAAATATTAGTTTCATTTAAATGAATAATCGAAAATTCTTAGATCTCATTATACAATTATCTTCTATAAAACATATAAAATTAGTTGTTATTTTATAAAGTAATCAATGAATACCTCGATCCTCAGCTTATTGTTGTATGACTTTTGTTGCTCGCATATGTGTATTCGTTTTTGGAGATCTTTGTTCTGAGAATTCAACTCGGACAGAGTGCATGTTAGTTCTTCGTTTTGCATTTGAAGGCGGACCGCTTCGTTCCAATATGTTCTTAAATAAACCAAAATGAATTAAACTTTACAAATATCAAATTAATATATCCCTACTTATATTATAAATGCGAAAGTAACTCTGTCTGTCTGTCTGTTACGCTTTCACGTCTAAACCACTGAACTGATTTTAATGAAATTTGGTACAGATATAGAGTTGACCTTGAGAAAGAACATAGGATAGTTTTTATCCCAGACTTTTGAAAGGTTCTCTTGGAAACGCGATGTAACCGAACTCCACGCTGGCGAAGCTGCGGGAAGAGAGCTAGTACTAAATAATTATTTAAACTCACCTTAAATAGTCATTTATTTCATTAAGGAACTCGCTCTTAGAGTTCTGTAAGCTGCTGTAGATCATTTCATTCTCTTCGTTGAATTCGTTGACTTTTTTAATTAGTTTTTGTTTCGAATACTCCTACAATGCAATAAATATTTTAACATTTTCTTCATTTTCATTTAAATGGAAAAGTAATATTTGAAAAGTTTTTAATAATCACCTTAACTGGATTGTTCAAGAAACTTTGAAACCACTCAATAAATTCTTTTCTCTTAACGAGAGTTTGCTCGCATGTGGCGACAAGCTTCGACGGCATGTCATTAACCCTTTTCAAATCAATTGTTAAACCCCTTGGGGAGAGTTGTTCATTTTCTGGATAAAATGTTAACTTACATTAAAAAATGCTGCTAAAGAATAAAAATAAATACATGGAAATAAGTAAGTAGGTATAATAATAAGTAAGTAGGCCTGGCGAGTATCAATGTGATTTTTCCGAGTCATATGTATTTTCTAAGAGTATTTAGTCACCACTGACAGATGAAGGAAAACTGGACTTATAATTATAAGTTTGAAATAACCAATCCGTTATGAGCAAGCGTGGTGATTAATGCTCAAACCTTCTCCATAGGAGAAGAGGTTCAGCAGTGGGCTCTGATAGGCTAATGATGATAAAAATATAAGGTATGCCTCACATGTTAAGCATTAGTTTAAAATAATAATCAAAATCCCATAACATGGCGTTTCCTTTCTAGTATGTTTATGATACGAACCTTCTTTCTTAACTTTTGATCCAGCACACAGTTGCAGCAGTTGTCCTGGAGACATGTTGGCTACATTCATGACGCGCAGGTCTTCAGCAGACGGCAGGTTGGCTGGGTGGCCCAGAACACGTAACTTCTCTTTCGTATTGCGGAGAATGGCGTATATTTCCAGTATGGTTTTCTGCAATTTATATTTAATACTAGAAGACCTGGCAAACTTCGTATCGCCCTATAATTAAGAAATATCCATTACGTTTTTTTATTTATATTTTTGGAGTTTACCTGTAAGCCATAAATCTCCGTGTTTTGAAGTGTAACATAATGATTGACATATTAGTTAGTTGTCAAATCTAATGTCAAAAAAACGTTTGTATGGGAAATAGAAAAGGGCTGTTTATAGGGTTCTCTAGGAAATGAATCAATTTTTTTCAGCTTTTATACCTTCCCTGAACCTCCTTGAACATTTCAAGACTAAGATAAGATAAATCCGTTCAGCTGTTCTCGAGTTTTAGCGAGACTAAGGAACAGCAATCCATTTTTATATATATAGAAGATATTTTAAAGCTCAGTATATTCATACATATATCCGCGGCTTTGTTCGCCTGCGTGTCGTTCTAAGTTCTTAAAGATTTAACCTATCATAATGCCAAGTTTTATCGAACATAGAAACTTACCTTTATTTTTTATATAAACATTACGAGATTCAATAAAACTTTATATTTAAAAGTGACTAACCAGAATTTTAAAAAAATGTAAGAAAATCAATCAAAATAATACAGTCGGAATTATTAAAGGTTCAAAGTTAAGTCCTTTACGAGGTACATTTTTCCCAGAATCCTTGAGTTTTGTAAATTTTATTTTTTTTAATCGCGTCCCGCTGAGATGATGTATGGCTTGTGAAGTTGTTTGGACCGGGATTGTAACGGGATTAAAATAATTGTAGTTTAAATTTTACGTTTAGCTTTTACACCCGTCGTTGCTCGCATAACTTGTATATTTTTTTAGTTCTCATTTCGCTTATAAATTTTTACTTAAATTACATTTACAAGTAAAATTTCTTTTTAACAAACGTCAATTAATTTTGAATAACTTTTCTATAATGTACAAGACAAAAAACATTACCTATCAAATTAAATGAAAGATTATAGACCTGTCGATTATAAAGTTCACTTTTCATTTCCTGAAACTGCAATATTTTTTCTTGCCAGTTGTTCTTGAGGTAGGCAATCTTATCACTGCGAGATGTTACTGATTCTGTGAAATCAAATGACGAAGATTAGCCCATTGAATGTATATATTTTCTTATTAATATGATTCTATATGATATTTAAATGAAACTAATATTTTTCGAATATAATACGCGTGATTTATTTTTGTATAAAACTACCTACTACCGACGTTTCTGTTACTTTTCATCAACCGTGATCACGGACAGACGAGATGTGAATGTCTGTCGGTTGGTCCTGTTATTTATTTGGTTGGTTGGTCATTAAAGTCGAGAATATGTAATTTTTTACAAAAATAAAGTCGTGTAGTATGTATATCCCAAGAATATTAGTTTCATTTAAATGAATACTCTCGAAAGTCTTATATCTCATTTTATATGATATTTTTTATTATATGCGAAATCTTTACAACCTTCTTCGTTGGAATCAAAGAACAGGCTCTTCATATCACTATAAAGTTGATTAGCATCAGTGGAATCCTTCTGATTCAACTCCAATTCTTCACACTTCTTTATGGTCTCCTGGTAAGAAAAAATAAAATAGAAATAACTTGTCTATTAATATAATACGACATTTTGAATAGTTATACCTGATCAGGTAAATTTGATCTTTGATATGTTGCTTTAGATAGTAACATTTTCTGAAACAAATGTATTATTTTATATATGTTTTTTTATATTATTATTATTTAATTGTACACAACATACCTGTCTAATGGGTATAGTTATAATCTGTCTGCTCGTTTTATTTGGACTGTCATTATAGTTGTCGTTCATTTGTCTTTTTATAAAGGGTCTCTAAAATGTAAAAAAAATACGTGCGTACAAAGTACACATGTCATAAGTGATACTTCTTTGGCGAACTAATTTATAAATCTTGTTTATATTTATACAAATCTAAAACGTTACGACGTTCGCTCTGTCTCACTCTTTCTCTCAATCTTTCTCGCTCGCTCCCTACTCTCACTCCATACTAGTTGCTTCATGCTACGTTCGTTCTGTCTCACTCTCTCTCAATCATTCTCGATCGCTCTCTCTCTCTTTTTCGACACTTCCATTGCATACCGGCGTGACGTCACATCTGTCAAAATTCTACCCTCATGCGCTTAACCCTAGAAAGATAGTCTGCGTAAAATTAACGCATGCGTTTGCGAAATATAGCGTTCTCTTCCTAAATAACGCGAATCCATAGCTGTGTGTTTAGGACATCTCGTTCGTCACTGGGAGCTTCCTCATGGCGCACGTGGACTTCAGGTAAGTGCAACCGATTTTGAAATAAAACGACCACGTGCGTCAAAATTACGCATGATTATCTTGTATGTGACTTTTATGATTTTGACTTGTACTATTTGTTTTTCTATTTTTAATGTTTTTATAACTGTATATCATTATTTATATTACTAGTTTCTTTTTATAGATATTAAAGCAACGATGGGAAATAGAAACTTAGACGAAGACCATATCCTGGCCAGTCTCATGCAAAGTGACGACGAGATTCCCTGTGAGTATACCGACAGTGAAGTAGCGGACCATGAGAGTGAAGATGACGTGCAGAGCGACACAGAAGAGGCTTTTATAGATGAGCTAGAAGAAGAATAGCCAACGTCAAGTAAAAACATAATCTTAGATAGGCCAAGCACCACTGAACAACCAATATCAATGTTTTGTTTCGACGGACCCCTTACTCTCGTCTCATATAAATCGAAAACGGCAAGAATGGTTTACTTATAATCGTCTTGTGATGAGGATGCTACTATCATTGAAGTGACTGGTAAACCAGAAATGATTATGTATTATAATCAAACAGAAGGCAGAGTAGACACACTCGACTAAATGTGTTCTCTGATGTCCTGTAGTAGGAAAACAAATAGATGGCCTATGGCTTTGTTGTATGGAATGGTAAACATTGCCTGCATAAACTCCTATATAATTAATAGCCACAATGTTCATTACAAAGGAAAAAAGCCTCTAAGTCGTAAAAATTTCATGAAGAATCTTAGCTTGGGTCTGTCTTCTCCATTTATGCGAAAGCGGTTAGAAACTGCTACTTTGAAAAGATATTTGCGTGATAACATCTTTAATATTTTCCTAATATTATGTATAAGATATTCCTATTGTTGATTTTGTGAAAGAAAAGGTTGATTATTATAGTTAAAAATAATTTGTGATGGAAAAAATAAGTGTTAAAAAAATTATTTGATTTATGAAAGAAGATTATAGTTTTGAGTTTATTTTTAATAAAAAATGTTTATAAATAAATTATCTGCAGTTTTAATTATTCTAATATATATGTTAATGTATATAAGACACGATTTTATTCAAATAAATTAATAAACCCCAACTTACAGCTAATTAAAACACATGCGTCAATTTTACGCATGAGTATCTTTTCAGTACTACACAATATGATTATCTTTCTAGGGTTAAAGAAGTTTCACTTCAATAATATGACCAAAAAATATATATATGTATATATTTCTACGCTTCCAAGGGTAAGCAAACTTTAACTTTAAAACACAGGCAGTGCCTTACACTATTATAATTATTTTTACTAATATTAGGGCTGAAAATCCGTTTTAAATTAATTTCTTTATTATAAAGCTTAGTTAGAAGATAGTTTTTTTACTTTGGACATCGGCAACAACCTCTCTCGCTCCAATTTGGCTGACCGTGACATACTCGGTATCATTTCAATGGTGTCGTCAAATATTTTGTTACTTTTTGTAGCTGACTGAAGTTGTATAACGAACATAGTAAGTAGCCTTTATATATTTAATAAAAATAGGTTTCTGGTAATTGAAATAAATTCTAACCTCGTTTGACCGCGGCCTGATGGACGCTTTGTTTTTCTGTAAATTTTTTGATTATTATTGATTATTATGATGTATATATATAAAAGAAAGTTGTGTTAGTTACACTATTTATAACTCAAGAAACGACTGTACGGATATGGATGACAATTGGTGGAGAAATAACTTAGAATCAGGAGACGATAGGATATTTAATTCTGTTTGATCGTAAAAACTTAATAAATTATAATATCTGGTCATCTATGGCCTCTAGGACTGAATAGGGTTCTCCCTGTCAGCTATACATATATTATTAATTCCGAAATAAAAACGAACCCCGTCGCGGTCAAAAACTAGTAAGATAATAATAATATTTCTTGCTATATAAACTAGAATGGTATGGAGAATATTAAAATATCTTTCATTAGGTTTTCATATCTTTTATAAAATGTTTAAAAAGGAGTTTTATATTATTTTGATACTCACATTGTCAATTATCGCTCTGTTACCGAATGCAGTGCGTTGTCGACATGGCGGCAATCTTTGTGGTATCTTACATTTAGCATAAGCCATTGGTCCTTCATTTTTTGCTGCGATTATTAATATATGAAAAAGATATTATAATTCTAAATGCTAGAACAATGTATGAAGTTATTACAAAGAATAAAATTCAATAAAAATGCATATGAACACCACCTTGTACTTTGGGCTCTAGAGACATAATACTCCAATTTTATTGTGGAAAAATCTGACTATAGAATGTGATATAGAAAAGAAAACCAGTTAAAATATAATGCATAAAGAAATATTAAGAAAAAACAGTTATAAAGTTTGTAAATATACTAAATAATTTGTAATCGCGTTCTCAAGCCAAAAAAGAGGAAAACTGACACTCTTGTTGTCAGTTAGGCCAGGCGTAAAAGGTTTAATATTTATTTAGAAAAGAGTTTAAAGTTATAGCACAGATAATTAAGATATAACTAAAGTAATGGCCGTTAAAATATTTTAAAATGAGAAGCATTTCAAATCAAAGCAGACCATATTAAATGTCATCAAAATTGTAGAATGTTCAGGTTTTACGATTCAATCCATGCTTCATAGTTATTAGGAATAAAAGATTAATACCTTTATATATACCAATTGTTCAGTGTTTTTGGAATAATGACAACTACCAAATCTTTAAGAGACAAGTCATGTAAGTAGCATTGGGTTTAAGTGTTGTTAGTTTTAATATAAAGAGACGTATAGAATTGTTATGGATAGGTTATGAGATGAGAAAGAGTTGACAGAGCGTAGAGATAGGCTACTGTTACTCAGGTTTAAAATAAGCCTGCATATTTTAAGCATGCTTAAAACAATCGTTCCAAATACACATGCCTTTTTATAGCGTACTTTTCTCGCTCTCTGTCAGTTCAAACAAAGTCATGTATCAAACAGCTATCCGTATGGAGATGATGATGAATAAGATCATCCTTTTGCTGGTGATGCAATGCATCCAGAAGCTTATATCATGACTCTAAAAAAAGAATATAAATATAATTATTTGGATCCGTAATTGTATATCTAGAAGATAGGACTTTGGAGCAAGTGCTCAACTACTTACAGAAATATGAGGAGACGCTGTTGCAATTGACTGATCGGTACTAGCATGCTTAATAAGCAAACTTATTTAGACGTGTTTAACTCCAAATAAGCATGCTTATTTTAAGCAACACTTCAACACATGCTAGTAAACAGTTGCTCAATTGCTCAACAACAAGTGCTCAATTAAAGCATTTTTTCTGATTGAAATAAGCATGTGTAACAGTAGCCTTATGTTGAAGATGATTATTGAGGGTTATACTATCAGATACATCATGTCCCCGGGTCACTCCTCGGCCCACAGCGGCGTCTGCAGCTCGAGCGGCGAGGAACGCCTCCAACAGAAACCTATCCTTGCCAACACCCCAACGAACGTCTCCCACAAGAACTACGTCACCTGTTTCTTCTAAAGTAAACCGAATTCATACCATCTTTATTCAAAAACTTGGTTAAATTTGAGATTAGAAATATACTATTGTAGTTTTTCCCGCGAATACGTCAGCGTTAATTTCAGCATTAGTAAATGTATAGCTCATCGGGCGAACTCTTTTCTGCTCTAAAGCCCGAAAATAACCAAATATTAAGTTTTTTTTCAATCAAACAGAATTAAATATCCTATGACCGTCTCCTTGTTCTAATCTATCTCCCCACCAATTGTCAACCATATCCTTACAGCCATTCTTAAGTTATAAATAGTGTAACTAACACAACTTTCTTTTATACTATATAAAGATATACATTTTCTCCTCAGATAAAAGCTACATTGTCACGCAATGGACAGAGATCGGAGTCCAAAACTGAAATTAAAGTTTGTTGTCATTTGTATCTAAAAATATATTAAATAGTGCTCCGAACTTTTGATTAATTATTTGGTTTGATTTCAGATTAATAGGAATACTGAGAATCAGTTTTTGGAACCCGAATGTGAGGTATGAAAGATGTGTCAAATTATTTAACAAACTTTTTATCCTTGATATAAAACAAAGTGAATTTCAGGCTTCTATAAAACCAGATAGTTCTTACATAAAAGAACCTGAATCTGTCATTTCTGAGAATAACGAGATGGTTATGTGTTCTAATGAAGAGGTCAATGAACCGTATCTAAACACTATCGAAACACTAGGTACGTACTTTATGTTAAAATAAATAAAAAATATATTTCTATCTTTATTAAACATTTCCCAGACATACAACATATGGAGGTGAATCCTGGAGCTTACGTGGAACCAGCGGAAATTGGTAAACATATACTGGTAATATTTGTTATAGTAAAATGTTTTTGAGTAAAAGAATAATACTTAATTCGTAGAGAGCAAACGCCGTCCTCCAACGCCGGTGTTCAGTCGACCGCAAACCCCGAGGAGCTCAGCAAGTCGACCGCAAACTCCTCGCCAAGTGCCGACCCCAAGGGTTCCAACCCCTCGCAGCCGCCCCAACACCCCACAGAAGAGTGCTCCGCGAGTCAAAACACCCACACCGCAACCTCGCCCCTCAACCCCCAGCTCGCAAGTTAACAGCGACGATCTTATAGCAGTCTACACCAACAAAAAGAAGCAATACCATCGCTTGAAAAAGGAACTCGACCTCAAACAAGTATGGCAACTGTTATACAATATAAACATGATAAAATGAAACTAATATCCTTCAGATTACTAGGCGTTCTTTATTATTGTAATAACTACATACTCCCGACGTCTCGGTTACTTTTCATCAACCATGATCACAGACAGACGAGATGTGAATGTCTGTCAGTTGGTTCTGATATTTATCATCTACCGCCAATGACTTCTTAATATTATAATTATAATTTTAAACAGCTTCAATGATCGTAAAAAAATACACTTAAATAAATATAGCAACTGTATTCGTTTTGAAAAATGACATATCCTTAAGTTCTTACTTATACATTTTATTTTTAGTTCATCAGATTGTATGACTCAAAAACTGTTGTTTTCTTAGTGAAAACATTTAAAACCGAGGTATTTTATTCAGCAAGCCGTGCTAGAACTCTTCGAATCCTTGCGTGATCTGCGGCCCAAGCTGCCGGGAGAGCAGCCAGTGGCAGTGGAAGGAGAGCTGGTGGTGTTTAACGTGGCGGACTGGGCGCCTGAAGAGGTGACACAACTGTGCAAGGACGCTGCTGCCTCCTCCTACAACGAAGGCACCATAGAGCTTATCAATACTGCCGCTATAGGTCAGACACGACTTATATTAAAGCGAAACCCTTTCATAATAATATCTGTAAAAATCACGATCAGATGAACACGCATTGGGAGAAGTGGAAACGAAAGTGTTGAACATTCCTGGATATTTTGCGGAACTATGTCTCCAAGCGTTCACAGCACGTCAGGAACTGATTGATTGGATTAAGGATTTGGTCGAAAAAAAGGTTAGTAATCATGCAAGATGTTATAATGCTCAAACTTGTTATTAATGTGATGTTACATTTCTGTTTGTGTCAGGAAATTGTGAACGAGGAAGCTATGGAGCGAATTTCTATTTACAACAATCAGGGCCTACATTTGTGTGAAACTCTGCGAGAGTTGAAGTCCAAAGCTGATGAGGCTGTGAATACTGTAACGCTGTTGTTGAAGTATTTTGAACATAATATCTATATTTGAACTATTTTTGACACAAATCTAGGGATTTATGAATAAGCCCATCGTTGTTTTCTTACAGACGAGCTAGCAATGAACGTTCAACCCTTGTAACAGTCGGGGAGTCTTTAGTACGAGAAGTTGCAAGACTACGTCAGGATCTGGAAAGCCGCTCTGTGGTCGTGGAAGAAATACATGAACCACGCGTCGACCCGGAAATGAATAAGGCTCTAGAGGTATAGTCCGTTAAACTTAAGCTGAGCTTTGCATTTGTGTGAGTGTAAGTAAAAGTAGTGTTAGACAAAAAACTTTTATATTTCAATTTTATTATATTTTAAATAAATACATAACATAAGTGCTATAAAATAGGCAAAACTCGTAAAAGGCCAGATGGAAATATATGGATATTATAGAATTCTTTTTTATTAATTAATAAAAATTTTAAAAACTATACAAATTCTTCTTCACTTGAAGGGTGAAGTGAGGAAGGTGCGGGGCGGAATAAAAGCAGAATAAACCGTTTCAAAATTAGAAAAGAACGTGGCATTAAAAAAATTGACATCCGTGTGCACTTAAACAAATGCAAAGCTGAGCTTAAATCAAACGCACTATAAGTCAACTGATAGATGCTAGCTCAGAAGATTAGGTGATATGTGATTGTTATATTTGTTTTGTTCAGGATCTGCGTAGTGAATTAGAAGAGGAACGGATTGCCAAAACGGCAATGAAAGAAAAGTTGGCCAACTCCGAAACGCAACTGCGACAGATGCGTTTGCGGATTTCCAAAATGGACCGACAGCTTCGGGAGGCAGATGCTAGTATAATAAGTCTGACAGAAACTGTTAAGTCTTCAGAAGACAAGGTAATATAATTTAAACCAGCTTAACAGGACTTTATACAATTTTACTTAGATTTATTTTACTCACAGATTAGGCAAAAAGAAGTACATTTTGAGGCCAGAGCGAGAAAGTTAAAAGAAACTTTAAAAACTGGAGAAGTAGCAAGCAACCATTTGGCGCAACAACGTGACGCTCTGCAAATAGAGTGAGACAGAAATATAATGTTCATATACTCCCACAACTCGGACGTGTGTTAAAAAATATTTTTTGTTTCAGAGTAAATCAACTTAAAGACCAAATACAAGCAATGATGGTTCAGCATAAAAGTGACGTTCAAGAATTGAATCAAAGAATAAAGGATTTGACGTTTACTCTAGAAGAAAATAAAATAACGACACAGACTCTGCTTGAAGAAAACCAAAATCTTCAATCACTTCTGACTGAAAGCAAACAATACGCTGAGGAATTGAAAACCAAAGTAACTGATCTGGAAAATAGTAAACCAAATCCAGGTATAAAAAATAATATAATATAAGATTTTCATTTGAAATATTGTTTAATTATGGCATTTATTTAAAGACTTGCCAACCGAAAGAGAAATGGATTTATGGGCGGAACTACAAGCAACTAAGGACACACTGCGAATGACAGAAGACGAGATCACAGCTTGCAAGAGAGAGAAAATACGCTTTCTGGAGAGCCTATCAAAGATCGCTGTAATTATTTATTACAAAACTATCGTTAATTATTTAAATTTTAACTTTACTAGTTAATTTTCTTTCAGTCTTATATACCTGATAGCTTTTACAGTATAACCGATAAAGGTGATATATAGATACATATAAATAAACATGAAAAATATTCGCCTAACGAAACATTGACTTGCAGGAATCCGACGATAAAATTGGATTACAACAAAAGTTATCCGCCGAGCTGCTCAATAAAGAAGAAATATTATCAAAAATGCAAACACAAATACGAGACTTAACTAAGAATATAAAACTAAAGTAAATAAAGCTTCCAAAATTAATAAAGAAATTAGGTGGTTTTTTTATATGCAGATCCTAAAATTAAACTAAAATTACTATTTCAGTGAACAAAAGGTCATTCAATATGAACAGTTTGTCAGAGACATACAAGCACACAACCGAGCTGTGGCCAACTGTAAGGAAGCACCCAACGGCATCAGCTATGAAGATTTACAACAGGAGGTAGAATTATTTATTTTCTATCAAAATCATTATTTCAAGAATATTTGCGAATATAATATACTAGCTTTCCGCCCGCGTGGAGTTTGCTTATATCGCGTTTCCAAGAGAACCTTTCAAAAGTCTGGGATAAAATCTATCCTATGTTCTTTCTAAAGGTCAACTCTATCTCTGTACCAAATTTCATTAAAATCAGTTCAGTGGTTAAGGCGTGAAAACGTAACAGACAGACAGAGTTACTTTCGCATTTATAATATTAGTAAAAGTGATGTTATTTTCATAGATTATGAACCTCAAGATGAGCCTCTTAGACGCAGTCCACCGTAATGATGAACTGTCTGAAATCTTGGCACAGAAGGAGCAGCAACTAGAACACCAGGATAAAACGTCACGTGCCCAGACGAAAGTCATTAAGGTTACTTCCTTTACTTGAAAAACTGTTCACGAGAGCAGAGTCCTTGATACAAAATACAATTGTCTTCATCTTGGTTTTGTCGTCATTTATTTATATTTTTTTTAATAACGGCACAGGTTCGCGAAGAGTTGATCAATTTGCTTAAAAACAAAGAGACCGAGCAGAGCCGGGAGCTCGCTGGATTACAACAGGACTTAGAGCATCGAATGAGAATAGTTGACGAAGTGAGGGGCTTTATTTTTAATTATTTATGTATTTTTTTATATTATTAATCAGATTAATACACATATACCAAGTTTATTAATCAAAATATTATTTAATCCCAGTTTCAGTTCTAAATGCGATTATTCACATTTTTTATATCGTCTAGAATGTTTCTATAACTTTTGCTAAATATTGGATGTAATTGAACCATTCAAAGATTCATCTAAATTTATAATCCTATATCAAATTTGAGGTGAACAAGCAGATAGCAGAAAAGGCGGACGAGATTCAAGAGCTGTTTAGTACGTTAGAGAACAAACAACAGCAAATACATCGCCTGGAAAAGATTGTGCTGGCGTTGGAGGAGCAGCAGCGACGGGCGCAAGCTCAACGGACGCGGCACGAGGAGAAAATTGCAGCATTAGAACACGAGCTAGCAGCTGGAGGGATCAGAAAGGAACGGTTTGTATCAATATTTATACCCTTCATATTTTAGCTAATTTTATAATATAGTATTAATGTCCTATGTTTTATTTTCAGGAAATTTCTTTTCTTTTAATTTCGGATAAAATTTTTGCGGAAAGTGGAACATGTTGGTTTTTGTCAAGTGGGATGGGTAAAGTTGTGGTCAAATTTATATTGTTTTTGTGATTATTGTTTATAATAAAAGATTTTACAAGTCCAAAATGCCTGTTTTTTATTCAAAGATATATTTAAGATAAAAAATGTTTCATAAATTTTAATATTTCTACTTTGAGTCAAAATAAATGGTGTATAAATAAGGATCGACCTCAAATTGGCATTTTAACTTAAATAAAATGCTAATGTGAAAATATCTTTCATTTGCCTCAATAAACTAGAAGTTGTATCTCCATAGTAAAGCATTCGTGGTCTCTTGTCAATTGTCAAACTCTGTGAACGTCATTTAATTTAATATATGAAATAAAATGTGAAGTGAAAATAATGCTAAACGCGCTTGTTAACAGAAAATTATAAATTCAGTGATACAAAGTGGTTAACAATTATATATTGAGATTAATTTATATTTAATTATTATTCTTACATAGTGTAAATCAATAACACAAAATGTCTGAACGAAAAGTTCTAAATGTAAGTTTTAATACATTTAATATTTTCTTAGGTAGAGAAATAACAAAACAATGTTTTATCGGTAATTATATTTACAAATAAAGATTATAATATAGTATTTTTTTTCCGAAATGCTCACATTTTCTGTAAATTAATATGCGATTGAGTAATGGTTTCCAATTCACTGATCTTCCTTTGTATTTCATGTTTTAGAAATACTATCCCCCCGATTTCGATCCGTCAAAAATCCCTCGTATGAAATTGGCTAAAAATCGCCAATACACGGTAAGACTGATGGCTCCATTCAACATGAGATGCGCTACTTGTGGAGAATATATTTATAAAGGAAAAAAATTTAATGCTCGGAAAGAAGATGTCGAAAATGAGGATTATCTTGGTATAAGAATATACAGATTTTATATAAAGGTATGTATAAAGTACTATTTGTCCAAAGCCATGGCAAAAATGAACAATATAGAATTGAAATATGTAAAATATTTATTGTATATAAGTTATAAAAAACATATTTAAAAGTATGCAGACTTGGAACATTGTACATGAGAAGATAGTCCTCAATTATGTATCTTGTAAATACTCTCAAACAAAAAAAAATTGCTTGCTTTGTATAAATAGATAAGTTGTAATATCAGTCAATTTAAAATATTTCACATATTCTAAGAACAAATATACTTAGTCTAAATCTATCAATTACAGTGCACCCGATGTTTACAAGAGATATCATTCAAGACCGACCCAAAGAATACTGATTACGAGATAGAAGCCGGCGCCACGAGGAACTTTATGGCCTTGAAACTGGCCGAGGAACAGGCCAAGAAAGAGGAAGACGAACAGAAAGAAGAAGAAGCCAACAACCCCATGAAACTCTTAGGTATTCTAGAATAGAATATAACTTATTATACGCCACTAGTAAAATAAATGTCATGTCATCAGCCTATCAGAGTCCACTGCTGTAAGGCCTCTTCTCACATGGAGATGGTTTGAGCATTAATCACCACGCTTGCTGAAGATGGGTTGGTGATTTCAAACTTATAAATTGTAAGTCCAGGTTTCCTCACGATGTTTTCCTTCACCATCTGTCAGTGGTGTCTAAATATTCTTAGTCGTCCATGAATATGCTGAAATATTTATAAATTGTTATAGCTACACTGTAAACACAATAACAAAAGTATAGACAGGAAACAAAGAAATAAACATTGAAATATAATTGTTTGACTTGTTACAACATTTTGTTGGTGAATAAGTTTTCAATCATAATAAGATGTTTGGTTAAATACATGCACATAATGTTAATAATAAAATAACATGAATCTTATTTATTGTATAGCAGGAACTTTGTTTCACATTTAAAAACTACTACATATGTTAGAAAAATATTTTTTGCCCATTTATAACAAAATATTAAATTTGTTTAGTAGTTTTATCATGTTTCAGAATAACAAATGCTTCACAGCATTATATTTAGACACCACTGACATATGGTGAAGGAAAACATTGTGAGGAAACCTGGACTTACAGTTTCACAATTATAAGTTTGAAATCACCAACGTCTTGAACAAGCGTGGTGATTAATGTTCAAACCTTCTCCATGTGAGAAAGAGGCCTTTGCTCAGTAATGGCTCCGATAGGCTGATAAATAAAATATATATACATATGTATATAATATTGTGTGTTCCAAATGCTATCAATATTAATTTACTTCTGATTTTACACCAGATCCTATGAATTGACTAAAAATATATAAATTCTTTTTCAGAATACAGAACGGAACAGTCTAAACAGGAGATAGAAAGATTGGAGAGTTTGGAGGAGCTCAAAGAATTGAACCGGAGACAGAGAACAGTTGACTATGAGGGGATGTTGAAGCAGTACCAGGGGGAGACGGCTGAGGAGAGACGAGCCAGGGAAGAGAGGGAGGACGATGACTTTATTAAGTATGGACAGTAATATACACATACTATATATTATAATATATTCTAGATTAATTATTATACGATCCCTACTAATATTATAAATGCGAAAATAACTCTGTCTGTCTGTCTGTTACGCTTTCATGCCTAAACCACTGAAGTGATTTTTATGAAATTTGGTACTGACATAGAGTTGACCTTGAGAAAGAACATAGGATAGTTTTTATCCCAGATTTTTGAAAGGTTCTCTTATAGTAAAAAGTGTGGTGTGCATTTGACTACATTCCATATCTTTCCTCTCATAGAGAGTCGCCACTAGAATGATTGTAACATTCAATATCAAGCATTCCACTGTTTTTATTACTCTTTAGGACATATCATAGTTAAACAATTGAAAACCATGACGATTTAATTGAATCTATTTCCAACTAGCTTTCCGCCCGCAGCTTCGCCCGCGTGGAGTTCGTTTATATCGCGTTTCCAAGAAAACCTTTTCATTAAAATCAGTTCAGTGGTTTAGGCGTGAAAGCGTAACAGACAGACAGATAGAGTTACTTTCGCATTTAATATTAGTAGGGATAGTTTATATTAGTTTCTGCCTGAAATTTCGTCCGTGTGGACTTAGAATCACATATAGTTATATAGTCTTTGTTACGTGACTTCTAACAATGATAATAAAATTGATAATTTTTAGTTTCCTAAGCTAAGTGAACTAATTTCTGGGATAAATTATAGCTCATATCCTATTCTGATCTCTAAGTTACAGTACTGTAAAGATTCAACAATTTTCGTTTCGTAGTTTTAGCGTGTAAGGGCAACAAACATCTATATACAGGGTGACTGGTGAATTACTATCAATATTTTAGGAGAATACTCGGTACATGATTCTCATTCGAATTATATAAACAAAATAGGTACTTAATTTTTGACCAAATTTCCGTATTAATAAATAAAGTGTGGACACGTTCCAAGTGTGGACGCGTGCAGCGGCGTGCTGATACAACACCACGCCGCCGCTCGCGCGTTTGTGTGTGTGTGTATACCTAATCTGTAGGGTGTTCACACGATGCGTAATTAATTACATAACTTTTGGTTAACTTAGAAGTTTATTATTATTTATGTTATATTAAGTTTTATTTTGTCATAATGATCGTCAAATATCACGTCCTCAAGTATCGATAGTAATTCACCAGTCACCCTGTATAATACAAACATCAGCAAAAACTTTCCAATTTATATAGGAGATAGTAAAAGCTTCTATTCCACTTTTTCGGTCGTCAGTTCATTTGTTACATCTCAAAACAATGATAGGAATATCGAGTTCATTGAAATTAATTCTGTTAAATAAATACTAATGTGGATATAACTTAGAAGTTTGCATTATGTGAAACTAACAGAACCATATAATCGACTAACAAACTTTTATAATTATCCAGTTGTATACAGTAATACAGTACACATATATACAGTAATCTCCTTAAATATTGATAGTAATTCACCAGTCACCCTGTATAAGTTGAAATAAGCCTAAATCGAGATTAAGAGATAGTAGGTTTAATATATATTCTGTTTATTTTTGTGTCAACATTCTAGTGAAAATGTCTATAGATAAAGAGAAAATATATGATTAATTGTAAAGGAACCAAACTTAAAAGGTCATTGAAAAGAAACAAAGAAAAAGAATGGTCTAAAATATGATATGTATTGAAAAAAACTTATATCAAAATACTAAAAGCATTATGATCTGTAATAACTTTTCTCATTATCATTCAAACATTTTCAGATCAGTAAAATTCAACAGCAGTCTGAAACACAAGATTGTAACCGAAGAGATCATAGAAGAGTGTGAGGAAGACGGACCCAGGACTAAAAACATTAAAATAGATGAACCCTCGGCCAGGGTCACCGACCACAAGAAGAATGAAGCCTGGAAAAGGAGTTTAGGAGTCACCAGGAAACCATTAACTAACCTGGTCAAAACAAAGAGGGCAGACGGAACCAGTAGTGATAGAACCCTGACAGACAAGAAGGATAAGGAACCGAGTGCCAAAGCCACTGGACTTGCATTACTAGCGAGCTATTCAGGCAGTGATAGCGATTAACAAATGTATTGTTACTCTCCAATAATAATAATAATTTAATTAAACAGTAATTAGATGTGGTGGATATTAAAACATTTTTACATCAGTAAACATGAGATTTTTCTTTCAATTTTTTTAAGAACCTGTTGTACATAGTTTTATCTATATAGTTTCAGCTGTTGTAACGACGAATGATGACAGACAAGTTGAAAATGATATTTCTGTTTTAGTTTCAGTAATTTATGTATTTAAACAGTATTATTTTTATATCTTACAACAAATTATAAATTAAAAATAATAATTAAAAATTTATAATGGTATTGGTAACACTCGAAAGTCATAATTAACCTTTCTTTATTTGCCTCTTTTTCTTTATTGTCAGTTTTAAACCAGTATAAAGCCTAAAAGAAAATAAATTCTACGGAAAGTATGATGAAAACAAGATTTTTAAGCTAAATGGCATTATTTCAGATGAATTGTTACTATAATAACGCGGGAAAGAAAATTCGATTTTGACAAGAATCGTCTCGGTAATTTACTAATATCACGAGAAGTAGTCGTTACAGAATCTTTACTACGATTTTCTTTACAATGATTCTTCATTCTGGACGAGATAAGTCAAAGAAGAGAATGAAGAGTATAGTTGGGTTTAAATTATATATTCATGGATTTTGAAGTTTTTATACGTCTATAATATTGTGTGTCCTTACGACTGATGGGTAAATTGTTGTGTTTTCAAAACATATCTATTGTGATCAAGTTTTAAACCAATAAATACTTAAAACAATGAGTTGTACAACCAATACATGCTAATACACAAAAGCACAGAAAATTATTACATTTAAATAAATACGCACTCTTGAAAATAGCAAACAATAACCTTGAAATGCATTGAATTTTAAATTTATCCTTAGTTTTATGTGAGTCTGACTGCAAATCCGTTATCGACATATGTATTTTGGAAGCAAACATTTATTTATTATTATTCGTAAAATAGGGATTCAGACGCGGCAGTATAATACACCGATTACATTTTCATTAACGGTTTTTTACTACGATTCTTGAGTATTCACTTTTCGATTTTTGATTTAAATCAACCTCACTTTTCTTGTAACTTGACGTGAATGAGAAATGTCATAATATGAGTATATACTAACAAACCAATATAAATTTTAAAGAGCAAGTCTGGTTTACAATTCACATTACTACTTAATGAGAACCTCTTGAAAGGTCCAAAAAGTAAATCAAATTAAAATATTTAGTGTTTAGAAAAAGATAAGTCTTGGAGTTGTTGTGTTCGTGTTTTCAGTCTTTTATATTCGTTGTATTTTATATTTTGGACTAGCTGGAATATTCCACTTTATACAGGGTGACCGGTGAATTACTATCAATATTTAAGGAGCATACTCAGTACATGATTCTCATTCGAATTATGTAAAAAAATAGGTACTTAATTTTTGACCAAATTTCCGTATAAATAAATAAAGTGTGTACACGTTCCAAGTGTTCCAAGTGTGGACGCGTGCGGCGGCGTGCTGATACAACAACACGCCGCCGCGCGCGTATGTGTGTGTGTGTGTGTATACCTAATCTGTAGGGTGTTCACACGATGCGTAATTAATTACATAACTTTTGGTTAACTTTACTTAGAAGTTTATTAATATTTATGTTATATTAATTTTTATTTTGTCATATATGATCGTCAAATATCACGTCCTCAAATATCGATAGTAATTCACCAGTCACCCTGTATATTCCACTGGCATAGGTGGGAAACGCCCTAATTATAGCCGGTAATTCAAATAGTTAGTTGAAGTAACACAATTAAATAATAAATATACGTACATAACCGGAAACTTATAAATTAAATAGGTATTGCTTGTAATCAAATCTAAAAATGTCAACTCGACATTCATGTGACCTTCGATAGCGGATATTTGACGTATTCCGTTTATTGTATTGTTATTATTTAATTTAAGATATGTTTTACTTGTTGATCCCCGTTATATTCCTTGGCCTCTTTTATTGAAAGTTGTTTTTATATAAACAAAGTAATATATATAATTTGCAGACTTAAAAGAATCATAGGATAGTTAAAAATATATGACTTCTGGAATTCTACAAGTGACATCACCGATTTAATGAATTTTACAATTGAATTTAGACTTTCTCTGAACTATTATAATACTATTGAGGTTAATTTAAATTGTAAACTATTTTGTACATTGCTGCCTTTTAAATACAATTGTCATATAGGCCGATTGGTCAGGGCAGTACCACCTTCTCCTAGATGATCTTTTAACCAATGTGACCTCTTTCGTCATAACTTTATGATACCATTTCCTCTTCCAGATTTTGTTTGGTATCCTGTTTTATAAAACGGTCTTACTGCACTCTGAAGTTCGTGAATCGTGACCATAACAAATTCGGAAGTTTGTTTAATTTTCTTCTTTAAAACTGGCCCTCCTGGTACAAGGATTTCTAATATTAAAGACTGGATATTTCTGTGCTGAACCTTTACTATTTAAAAATGTTCATAACGACCGATACCAGTCTATAACAGATACCTAATAATATAATTCTGCCTCTAATTCTTGCAACACAGTCCTGTCACATAAAAGCAGAATCACGATACCACAACTGGGAAGAGACCGATAATTTTTCCTTTAGAACCACTTTTCTTACTATAGTACTTCGTAAAACCTCTCTTTGAGTCCAATGGAATTTTTAAAAGGAGATGCATTCTATAACATGTCGCGATATAAGCAAACCAACTCAAACGTACGGTCTCCATAACGTTCTTTACCTAATACTATATTTCCTACATCGTCAAGAGGTCTAACTGTCTAGATGAAATTTCTGCTTTAGAACTGTGGGAAAGGGATTGTCTATTGTCACTCTGGACCATCCAGTTAATAAAATTACTTTGGACTCATTAAAGTTTAGCTTACAAAACTTTCAGCAAGAATGAGCGGCGACGCAGAAACGCTCATAATTGCTGATGTGTGGTGACTTATTTGTCCGTGCATTAAAAAAAAGTTATAATCTAGACATAGAAAAACTTTACCATGATGAATGAATAATTCATTATTGTAATGAGATACTCAAAACAACTAATTCTATTAAATAAATATTACTATTTTTACAAAAGAAAATGAGAAAATACATACATATGTAACCTACATAGGTTTGTATGTTATTATTAAGAGAGAGAAAATCGTACAACCTATTTTGTATAGCATATATTCTGAAAAAATAGGCGAAGAATATTGTGGGATAGGTAAAAAATATATAGTCTTATGTATATACTTTTTCCTTATCTTCATTTAAAATTATTGGTTATTTTCCTATTATTACATGACTGAAACATTGATCTTCCTAGGCTTCCGTCTATCTAACTTGGCGATGTTCGATCGATTAAAAAGGTGTCAATTATCCAGAAATCTAAGTGTGTCCACGACGTAAGCTATAGAAGAGTTCAAGAAACATAACATTAACAAAGAACTATGTTAAAACAATCTTTAAAATTAAGCAAGATCATTAACATATATGAGAAACAAAAAGGTACAAAATGGAGTCATTACGAACTTAATTCTGAATTTATTTGCGCTTTCAGAATACTCTCAGCAAAGTAATAACTTAATAAACAAAAACTAATGATGATTATTTTGTCCTGTACTTCAACTATCTCTTTTTGGTAAAAGCTGAATATAATAATAAAAACTAACTACGACCTTTGACCCTTTCTAAGTTTCATATAATTAAATTGTACAATGTAAAATGACCTCAACAGCTGTCTACGCTACTTAAACCACACTGTGTCTTTTCATCCCTACTAATATTATAAATGGAAAAAGTAACTCGTCTGTCTGTCTGTTACGCTTTCACGACTAAACCACTGAACTGATTTTAATGAAATTTGGTACAGAGACAGAGTTGACCTTGAGAAAGAACATACGATAGTTTTTATTATAGACTTTTGATAAATTCTCTTGGAAACGCCATATAACCGAACTCGACGCGGGCGAAGCTGCGAGCGGAAAGCTAGTTTTAAAATAAATGAATAAATTCTTCAATATGAGCTCAGTTAATTGAAAGTGTAGTAAATACAGATATTTTTCTATAATTAATAGGATATATTAACATTTAATAAGCCAGGAAACACCATTACAAACCAATTATTGAATACCGGCTTGCGTCCGTACGCGTGGTGGTCATTTAACGGGCAAAAAGTACTCTGTACTTCTATACAACTCAATACATCATGGTAGTTAGAAGCATTGAAATGCATTTTATCCGTGAGTAGTAAAAGCGTTAGTAGTAAAGGCGAAGCTACTTTCGCACTTATATTTGGCTAATTAGTTTTCCTCATTCAAAAGTTTTTAGCTAATATAGTATCAAAATTATTTACAGCTGTTGTGATAATATAATTTTAAATGAAAGTAGGTATTTAGAAGTGAAAACATTTTTATGAAAGAGTTTTTTGGAAAGTATTTATCAAAAACTTTAGCGACCTTGATGTTTGAAAAAGATTCAGTATCAATATCAAATCCAATATTTGTTATTCATTATGACATAGTAAGATTCAAGATTTAAAACTTTAAATAGATATATTAATACAAATGCTATGGATCCGACACGCGTAGAGTGAAACCATGGAATGCTGCGATGTTTCGTCTATAAATTTCTTAAACAACAACTTCAGATAATCGCTGTACACTGCAGTAATGAAATAAAACTATAATTTTGAGAATTTATCATACCAGATATCGTTGAACGATAGATAGTAGATCATAAATAATTAATTAATTATTTCAAATTCAATAGTAGATTACAAATGTCATTATATTTGACGTTTAGACATAATAAACATAGGGAGGCATCTTTTGACTTTGACTTGTTATGTGTGTGTCAAAATCATGGTAAAGAATGTGATATTCATTTTAAATAATTTGTAGTACCTACACCTCATAAATATATTTTTGAGCACTTTTTTTCATCCACTCGCGTAATCCTTTAAA